TGTGGAGGCCAGGTGTCAATGTTGGTTATTTGCTTCTCTCTCCACCTATTATTTGAGGGAGGGTCTCTCACTGAGCCTGGGCTAGGCTAGCTGCCATCAAGTCCCCAGGGATCCTCCTGTGTCCCTGATCCCAGGGCTGGGGACACAGTGTATGCAGCTGTACTAATTTCTTACGTGGGCACTGGGGACTTGAACTCAGGTTCATACCTGAGTTCATACCTTGCACAGCATTTTACCTACTGAGCCACCCCGCCCCAGGGTTTCACTGTGTAGCCCAGGCTAGCCTGGAACTCAGGTCAATCTCTTGCCTCTACCTCCGGAGGCTGGGATTACAGCATGCACCACCAACACCCCAGGCCAGTATCTGCATTTTGAAAGTTGAAGGTGTGCTGCAGGGAAAGGGTAGCCTGGGCAAGGCGAGTCCCAGAGTCCAACTGTGCTAGCCTGGGTAAAGGGCTATATGGAGAAACAAACTTCTCCGGGGCAAGGTGTGATAGGCGTGGGTCAGGATGGCTTGGGAAGTGGATGGAGGTCCCAGTTGCAGCCCTAAGGTCTCACTTGTGAGTGGCGGGGCTTGGAGAAGGGGATCCCCAGGGCAGGTGGAGGAGAAGGCTATGGTTCCCGGTTCCAGCCCAGGGTGGGGGGGTTGGGTACTGAGGAGCTGGGGGCGGTGACCTGTGGGGTGGGGCCCTAGCTGATCCCAGGCTAAGCCGATGAGGAGCTGAGTGAGGGGGGGAGGGGTTGCGTGTTAACCCGAGCCAAGGTGCGGATGGCCCGTGAGGGGGAGGGGCGCTGCGGCATCACCTGGTCCCCTCCCCGTGCCCGCTCCGCGCATCCCTCCTGGTCCTACCCTCTGGTCCTCCATAGCTGCAGCCCTGGGTCTCCCCGACCCCGCCGTGGGGTCCCCCTCAGCTGGTTCTCCAAACACTCAAGCCTCCTTGGCTGCAGCCGGCAGCCAATTAGCCCTCCGCGCCCTCGCCGCCTCCGCCGCCGCGCCCCCGTCAGCGCTCCATCACTGCATGCACTGCGCATGCGTCCGCGGTCGGCGCTGCTGGGAAATGTAGTACGGAGCTGGGACTCGCCCTCCTCCAGAGCTTGGGTATCCGCCTGTGATACTGGGGATGAAAGAGAGCCCAGGCAGAAGTCAGGGTGTCTGTCTTGTGACCTTGGGAGCACCCCTTACTCACCCCCACACCGTCCCCATTTGCTACTCAAATTGGCACCCACGCTGCTCTGAGAACTTTCCTTCGATGGCTCACATGCTTGCTTGCCAGCGTTCAGCATTATGGTCACACAGTGAACAAGCTTCTACACATTCCACAAAGCCCCAGATTATACCCCCCCCAAAAAAAAACCTCTCTACCAGCCCTAGCTTCAGGGCTAGAAATGTTTATTGTGTTCAGTTCGCCCTGCTGCCAACCGGGCAGTGTCTGGGGCTTCGTCCACCCCAGTATCTTTTAAACACTGCCCTTTTAACCAGGACAGGACCCTTCTTGTGGTTCAGAACAATTCCAGGAAACACCCAGTGAGAAAGTAGGTCACTCAGTGGTTGGGTGTAAGACTCTGAACTCTACCGAACTGGCCACTGACCCCAGAGTGGGGCTGGTGGCTAGGACCTCTGGTCTCCAACTTTGCCCAGGCTTTGGAGGGGCACCCAAAACTTGTAAGAGACACAATTGGCCTCAATGGGCTGAGGCAGCTTTGTTCACCCAGACAGGGGTCCCAGCCTCCCATGGGGTTGGTTGATCTTAGATGGGCTCGGGGACAGCTGCATATACACAGCCCATTAGGAAGTCACTAATGCCCTTGTGGTTTGACTGAGAACAGAGTGACTGGTTTTTGCTACCAGAGCAGGTTTCTCTATGTATCCCAGGTTGGCCTCAACCTCAGAGAAATCCCCTTGCCTCTGCCTCCTGAGTGCTGGGATTAAAAGGTGTGCACCACTACACCTGGCACACAACACTTTTGAGAAGCCAAAGTCACCACAGAAATCTGCTGACATGCTCTATACTTGAGCCATGTGAGGCCTGGGCTTCATGCCCAGTGCTTCAACAAGGGAAGGACTTAGGACCTAGGAACTGAGGCAGATCTTGGTTTTTTTTTTTTTGTTTGTTTTTTTTTTTTGGTTTTTCGAGACAGGGTTTCTCTGTGGCTTTGGAGGTTGTCTTGGAACTAGCTCTTGTAGACCAGGCTGGTCTCGAACTCACAGAGATCCACCTGCCTCTGCCTCCCGAGTGCTGGGATTAACTGAGGCAGATCTTGTAGGTGGAAGTTTCCTGTCTCAGAGCCACTCAGACCCAAACACAGGGAAGCTGCTTCCCGAATTACCACACAGAGGCTTAATATTACTTATAAATGCTCGACCAACAGCCCAGGCTTATTATTAACCAGCTCTTACATTTTAAATTAACCCATATTCCTTATTTACACTCTGCCACATGGTGGCCCCTTTATTAGCATGGCACATTCATCTCCTGCTCCCTCTGCATCAGGCTGTGGATTCCTGACTTCCACAATTCTCCTTCCCATCATCCTTAGTTTGGTTGCTCTGCCTAACTTTCTGCCTGGTTACTGGCCAATCAGCATTTTATTAAATCAATTCAAGTGACAAATCTTTACAGTATACAAGATGATTATTCCACAGCATTTTCTTCTTTTTGTCTAATTAAAAGAGAAGGCTTTAACCTTAATATAGTATAAGTGTTATTAAGTAAGAATTACAGTAACAATATCTAATCCATTGTATTTGGCAAAATTAGGGATACTTTTCATCTATCTTATCTTGGTGAGTTTAAGGTTTTGTTTTTTGTTTTTTCTTTTTTTTTTCTCATTACAGATGGTTGTGAGCTACCATGTGGTTGCTGGGAATTGAACTCAGGTCCTCTGGAAGAACAGTAAGTGCTCTTAACCTCTGAGCCATCTCTCTAGCCCTGCTTTTGTACAGGGTTTCTCTGTGTAGCTTTGGAGCCTGTCCTGGAACTTGCTCTGTAGACCAGGCTGGCTTTAAACTCACACAGATCAGCCTGCCTCTGCCTCCTGAGTGCTGGGATTAAAGGCATGCACCACCACTGCCTGGCTGAGTCTAAGGTTTTGTATCTAATTTATTTTCTATTATAACTAAGGAAAACGATAACTATCTAGTCTTCAACTCCATCAAAGGCCCCAGAAGGGTGAAATGTTACCTAATAACAGGGACATTTCACTGCCTGGACAGTCACTCAGAGTTCTTCTGCAATTTTGGTGCATCCATCTCTGGCCCACAGACAGACTTTCTGTGAAGCAGGATATTCTGAAGGACTGTTCTGCCTTGTCTTGGCAAAGTTAAGCAGTCGACTTTATTGTGTCTTGCTGGTCCAGTTTGGACAGTAACTGTCAGCAATTGAGACAAGCTCGGCTTCTTTGCCCAATAACTAACTTTTGCTAAAAGAAAGCAAACTCAGGGCTGGAGAGACGTCTCAGAGGTTAATGGCACTGGTTGCTCTTCCAGAGGTCCTGAGTTCAATTCCCAGCAACCACATGGTGGCTCACAACCACCTACAATGAGATCTAGTGCCCTTTTCTGGCCTGTAAGCAGACATGTTGGCAGAACACTGTACACATAATAAATAAAAAAAAAGCAAACTCTATATGGAGTTTCTTCAGTGCCCATCATCTTCTTTGAAGTAGATTGGTGCTGCTAGGAGCTAATGGGTCTTACTGTCATGAAAAGCCTTAGATTATTAAACATATTAAATTCCATATTCTGTTAGTCTTTGAAGTATTTGAAGACTACCTATCTGAAATATATCTCTGTATGACCTTGAAAACAGATCTAACATGACTATAAGTTTGACTATTATGGATGATTATTAATCTGTATTTTTTTTTACTTTATTTTATGTGCATTGGTGTGAAGGTGTCAGTCAGGTCTCCTGAAACTGGAGTTACAGACAGCTGTGAGCTGCCATGTGGGTGCTGGGAATCAAACCTGGGTCCTCTGGAAGAACAGCCAGTGCTCTTAACCACTAAGTCATCTCTCTAGCCCCCTAATCTGTATTTCTTTATTATTTATTACATTTTTAATAAGGTGCATAGACATAATACCTTAAACAAGAGTAGAAATATACTTACAATATTAAAAATTAACATTAAATTTGTAACAGTAAACCAAAATCCGTACCAATGTAAAATATGTAAGATTTATAGTTGTTTTTTGTTTTTTTGGATTCAAGTAAATTCGAGAATCTGCCCTTTTATCCTAATACTTCTGTAATAGGATCTTAATGTATTGATTGATTTTTGAGAATTGACACGTTGCACAGGCTGGCCTCATACTCCCTATGTAACAAAGGCTGCCCTTGAACTCTTGATCCTCCTGCCTCTACCTCCCCATAGCTGGGATGATGGGTGTGCTCTACCATGCCTGGTTTGTGGGGTCCAGAACCCGGGCCCTGCACAAGCTGGACAGCTGCTCTGCACTGCGCCCAGCTCAGGGTCCCCTCATCACACACATTCCTCAGTGTCCCTCTGTCTGGCACTGCTCTCTGCTATTGCTCTTCTCTCCTCTGTATGTAGTATTTTCCTGAGAGATTCCACTCCCAAGAACCCAGTCTCTACACCCACAGATGGGTGTATACTCCCTGTTTTAAAATTCTTTTTCTCGAGACAGGGTTTCTCTGTGGAGCTTTGGAGCCCCTGACCTGGAACTTGCTCTGTAGACCAGACTCACAGAGATTCACCTGCCTCTGCCGCCTGAGTCCTGGGACTAAAGGCATGCGCCACCACCGCCCATACTCCCTTTTTGACGTCGAATGCTTTGGGGAAAACTGAGAGGCAGGGTGGAAGGAACTGGACTTCTTTTTCCCCACAGCCTGAAACACAGGATGTCTGCCTGCCCTCTGTATTTCCCCACCCCCAGTGTCACCTCAGCGGGGGTGGGGTGGATGCTGTGACAGGAAGAGTGTTGTGGGGGCTGGGTGACCCCAGTATTCAGGGCGAGCTTGGGGCTTGATGGTTCAGGGATGGGGTCTTCCGGCTGGGTGTTCATCCTGTTGCAGCTCTGGGGTGAGTACCTGGGGGTCCCACCTTGTGTAACCCTCCTACTGTCTTGCCCACTTGGGCTCTCTGGTCCCCGTCAGAACTACCTTGAACTGGATGCTTGGGCCCTTACAGGGTCTTCAGAGAAACCCAAACCATGACCTAAACACCAGCCTTCAGGGACTGGAACCCCAGCCTCTGGGCCCCACACTCTTTTGTTTCTTTGAGACAGGATCTTGCTTTGGGGGGTCAGGTTCCCACTATGTAGCACAGGTTGGCCCAGAATTAAGAGACCTGCCTGGCCGAGCGTTGGTGGCGCACGCCTTTAATCCCAGCACTCGGGAAGCAGAGGCAGAGACAGGCGGATCTCTGTGAGTTCGAAGCCAGCCTGGTCTCCAGAGCGAGTGCCAGGACAGGCTCCAAAGCTACACAGAGAGATCCTGTCTCGAAAAACAAAAACAAAAACAAAAACAAAAAAAAACAGAGAGACCTGCCTGATTTTGCCTCTGGAGGGCTGGGATTAATATGCTCCACCCATATTAAAACACACACACACACCTATATATCTATATATCTGGGGTGTGTGTGTGCATGTGAGTGCAGGCCCCCCCCAGAGGCCAGGGGTTTGGGGTCTCCTGAAGCCTCAGTAACCACCAAGCTATCTCCAGAATCCTCTCTTCCCCTTCACCATCTGGGCTGTGGACAATGGAACTCAGGTCTGGGCTTGGCAGCAAGTGCCTTTACCTGCTGAGCCAGCATGTAGGTCCCTATGTTGGTTGTGTATGTGTGTTTGTTTATTTATTTATATGTGTATATGCATGTCCATGTGTATGTGTGTGTATGTCTGTGTGCCTGTTTGTGTGTATGTGTGTATATCTGAGTATGTCCATGTGTATGTGTGTATGTATGTGATTGTGTGTGTCTGTGTGTCTGTGTGTATGTGTATGAGTGAGTGTGTGTCTATATATGTGTGTCTGTATGTATGTTCATGTATGTATGTGTGTATGTATCTGAGTGTGTCTATGTGTATGTGTGCATGTACATGATTGTGTGTGTGTGTGTGTATATATGTGTGTGTCTGCATGTATGTTCGTGTCTGTGTGTGTGTGTGTGTATGTGTGAGTGTATATATGTATGCATGTGTACACAGAGTCCTAGTGTTCACCCTCAGAATCTTTCTCAGTCCATCTCCACCGATTTTCTGAGATCCAGTCCTTGTTGGCCTGAGGCTTGCATGTGGGAGCAACTGGCAGAGAGCTCATGGATCCTCTAGGCTCTGTGTCCCCAGAGTAGGGTGACACCACCATGCTCCTCTAAGGACTCAAACTCAGGTCCTCACAGGGTTTGCTAGCTTTGGTGACACTTGTGTCTTTCCCAGGCCTGCAGGAAGCTGTGAGCCTGAGTGTGCAGCAGTGGCCCCCACTGGTGAGGGTGACACAAGGCGAGGAGATGCTGCTGTTCTGTGGGGTGAAGCAGAGTCAGGCCTGGGAGAGACTGCGTGTGGAGTGGGTCCGGGACAGCGTCGTTTTTTGCCACCTGCTCATCTCCAATGGCAGCCTCAACCCTGGGGGCTGTGGGTCTCGGGGACAGCTGTCCTGGTGGCCGCCTGCCAACCTCAGCCTGCGGCTGGGCCACGTGAGCCTCAATGACAGTGGGGACTACGTGTGCCGGGCCACCCTGGAGATCCCCAAGTTGCAGGAGGCCGAGGGCAATGGGACCAAGGTCCTCGTAGAGGCAGGTATGAACGGGGATGAAGTGGTGTTCGGGTAGGGAAGGCTCTAGAATTCCCAGACTCCTGAATTATAGGTCCTAGCTAAGTATAAAATTGCTCACAGAACACTTGTGACAACAGCACTTGGGAAGCTGAGGCGGGAGAATGCCAGGCTCAAAGCTAGTTTTGGTTCCATAGTGAGTGAAAGAAAGAAAAGAGGCAGTCGAGGCAGGAGGGTCAGGAGTTCAAGGCCAGCCTGGGCTACATGAGATCCTGTCTCAAAAAGCTGTGCAAAGGCTGGAGAGGCTGCTCAGTGGTTGGAGCGCCGGCTACTCTGACAGAGTGCCTGGGTTTGGTTCCCAGTACCCCCACATGGTGGTTCACAGCCCCTTGTCACTCTAGGTCCAGGGGACCCTTCTGGCCACTGTTGGTACTGCACACATACTCAAATATAAAAATAGTCATTTAAAAATTAGCAGGCCTGTCGTCCTGGCACTTGAAAGGCTAGTTTGGGGTATGTATAACAGAAGAACAGGAACCAGGTGTGGTGGCACACTCCTGTCATCCTAACATTCTGGAGGGTGAGCTTCAGTAGGGTGTGGCAGGGCACTTGCCTGTTATCCTACTACTCTCACAGGAAGCTGAGACAGGAAGATTGCCAAGAGTTCAACACCAGCCTGGACTTCATTGTCTCAAACAAAACAAACATGGCAGTACCTTGTGGGACCCCTGTAGTCTTGGCCTGGTGCCAACACAGTGGTCCTTACCAGTTGGAGTTGTGCTAGCCTCCGTTTTCCAGGATGGAGCACCTGGTGTGCTCTTCTTAGCTAGCAGTGACATGTTGTCATTGCAGGAACTGTTCTGTGTGGCTCATCACCCGAGGAGTAGCCAAATTAGCACGCTGTGGGGGTGGGGAGCAGCTGCATCCAGGGGGCTTCTCTACCCCCAACAGCCTCCAGGGTCCCCTGCCAGCATCAGCGGCTGCAAAAGGAGGGTTTGGGGGTGACCCACCTTCTTGAAGTCATTAAGTCCCCACCATTGATTGCAGTTTCTAGCAGTCACACAGGCCTGGACTCCGGCCCTGTATGTTCATTGATTGGTTATGTGAGTGGGGGGTTGAGCTCCGGCTCCATCACCAATCCTGCCTCATACAACCGTGGGCTTTCCAGTCTCGGCAGGGTGGACTCAGAGTGATGACATTTAGTGTGCTTAGGGTTAAGATTTGGGGTTTGGATGAGAGGCAGGGTGAGGGGCTGGGGGCAGAAGTCATTTGGAGGAGGGAGGGTCTCAAGAAGCATTCAGAGGGACCCCAGATGGAATCCCTAGTTCGAAGCCACACCCCACTGATAGCCCAAGAAGACCGTTATGCTTCCTCACCTGTTTTCAGAAGAGGACACTGAGGTTCTATGTGAAAACATGCCTACGTTACACAGGCAGGTTCAACATCCTGAGGCAGGGAGGGGACTGGCTGCAGGTGTCTGGGCTCCACAGCGGTCATCCTCCTGAGACAGGAACCGCTTCCTTGCAGGTGGCCTCCAGTTGAAGGAAACCTCCGGCCCTTCAGGTGAGTCCTTCCCCTCCTCCCAGCTGCCCCGCCCTTCGTGCCCCCGCTTCCCCGACACAGTCTCCTCTGTCTCCCCACTCAGGGCTCCTGTTGGTGCTTCTGGTGGCTGGGTGTGTGGTAGCAGCCTTGGTGGTGCTTGGTGCTGTGTTGTGGGGTCTCAGCAGGTGTCGACGGGAGGACTCGGGTGAGAGCACCTGCCCAGGTGAGTCTCACGGGTGCTGAAGGCATCTTGGTACATAGTGCTACTGCCCCCATGTGGCAGACATCGGAACTGCATCCCCTGCCAAGGGAGCTGGGGTGAGGGTGGGGGTAGGGGTGGGACAGGAGGCAGCGTAGAGGGGAAGGCTGACCCCTCGTCCGTGCCAAGTCAGCTCTGGCCACTCTTAATTCACTGTCACCTTTGATTTATGTCAAGTGCCCCCAGGAAATTCTTTCTACAGCAATGTCCTCTACCGGCCCCGGGAGACTCCACACAGGCCTCAGGCCCGGTCGAAGGAGAGCGACACAGCAAGGGACCAGAGAGCCCAGGCTATCTATTTCACCACCTTCCCCAAACCTGCCCCACGCCAGCAACTTCCGGTCTCCAAACCCAGCCCCAGGGCCAGGCCTGGCCACCCCATCTCTGTCCACCGTGCGTCTCCTGCAAGCCCCAGGAGGTAGGGGCAGGCCACATGCCAAGAGGGATCCTCGAAGTCAAAAAAAGGCATGGAGACCCCTGAGGACCTGGACAAATTTGGACCTGGACAAGAGTTATGTGAGGGTGGCACTGTTTCTATAAAGGGAGGGGGCGTCCAACGGCTACTGGGACATCAATGACATGATCCAGGGACTGTCAATAAAGGATCCTTTCAGTTCTGTGATGGGAACCCAAGGCCTCAACCATGCTATGCAAGTGACTTACCCCTGAATCACACCCCCATCCTCACTGGAAGATTCTAGGTGGGGCTCCACCACCTGACCACGCCCCCAGGCCCTCACTGGGGATTCTAGGCGGTATACCGATTCTCATCCCTTGTTCTGTTTTTCCTCTTTTTTTTTTTCTTTGTTTGGTTTTTCGAAACAGGGTTTCTCTGTGAGCTTTGGAGGCTGTCCTGGAACTCGCTCTGTAGACCAGGCTGGTCTCGAACCCACAGAGATCCGCCTGCCTCTGCCTCCCGAGTGCTGGGAATTAAAGGTGTGCGCCACCACTGCCTGGCTCTTCCCTTGATTTTATGTGTTCAGTGAGCAGGGATTCCACACTCGGGTCTGGATGACCCCTTCCTCCTCAACCGGCCACCACACGGCTTCTCGAGTGGAAAAAAAAGTAAGAGCTGAGGGTCAGAGCTACTAGCATGTACCATGGTCCTGTCCCTATCCAATTGTCACTTTGAAGTGACAAAGGCTGCTTCTGCCTCCCCTCCCCCACTCCTGTGGATTTCCCAGGGGGAAGTTGTCTGCTCTGCCTGGGAGGCCAGAGGCCCAGCTGTAGGCTGGGATGAGGCGAAGCTGTCCTCTGGGGACATTTAGCTTCTAAACCCAGCTGGCTCCCTGTGACAAAGGCTTTGTCATTCATAGCTATGACTTTGGGAACCCTCCAAGATCTGAGTGGTCGCCTGGTCTCTCCCCACAGCCCCGAAAGAACAGCAGGGAATCACAAGGTTTTAAAATTTGTTTTTATTATATTTATTTATTAATTTATGGCGTGTGCCTTGTGTGTTAATCAGGGAACAACTCGCAGTGTCTGCTCTCTGCTGCCACCGTGTGGGTTCCTGGGACTGAACCCCTCAGACCTGGCAACAAGCGTCCCCTCCCAAACTCACAGGTTTGGCCTGGTCACAGAGAGGGGGCCCTGGAACCTCCCAGAGGGCAGTAGATTTGGCTTGGAGGGAGTCTGCATCGTGAGTCCCTCTGTCCCCTCTCTGGCTTGGCAGCCAGTGTGCAGGATCCATCAGGGGCTCTGGCTGCTGGTGACAGGGTAAAGCAGAGCCAGATGCTCGGCGCCCTGCACAGGCAGTGGGCGGGCACTGTAATGCAGGACCAGCTCGGGAACGCTGGGGAAGGGCCCGCTGTGCTGGCCCAGCACCACCTGGTTCTCTCGGGTCCGCGCGAACTTCAGGTGCATCGAACCCTGACTGCTCCTGTGGGTCAAGACAGAGCACCAGTTCCCCAGAACCATTCAGCTCTCCATCGCTCCACAGCCTCCTTCACAGGTGTATGTGGGTGCTGGGCCTCCAGGGACACCTTTGACAATCCCACTCAGTGCCTCTCTGCAGGACTGACAGTCACAAGTGACTTCCTGATCTCCCTGTCTCTGTAGGGTATCTTTCCCTTTGAAGCTCACTTCTGAACCAGTCAGAGGGACCAGGGGGTAAAGGCACTTGAAGCCAAGCTTGATGACTTGAGTTCAATTCCCCAGGACTCACCAAGTGGAAGGCAAGAACTGAACCCCAAAAGCTGTCCTATGACCTCTATACCCATACATGCACAAAAGTAAAAGAAATAGTGCAGCACTTGAAAGGCTGGCAGATAGATACAAATTCTGGAGTAGCCTGTTCTACACAGTGAGTTTTGGGCCAGTCAAGGCTACATAGTGAGACCTCCTTACAATAAATTAACAAGTTAAACAAATTATTTATTTAATCCCAGTACTTGGGAGGCAGAGGCAGGCATGTACCTGAGTTGTTCCAGACCAGCCTGGGCTCTGCAGTTAAACCATACCTCCACCCTGCTCACCCTGGCCCTGTGAGCTCCCAGTGCAGCCTAAGTGTCACTTCTGTAGAAGGTCCTCCCTCACAGACTTCCATCTTCAACAGTCCCATTTTGGAATTGAGTTCATCTGTGCCAGGGCCCCAGCTCATAGAGGGGGCCCTGGAATACAGGCAGGGTTTTAATTTATTTATTTAATGTATACTGTGTTCTGCCTGCACGTATGCCTGCACACCAGAAGAGAGCACCAGATGTCATTACAGATAGTTGTGAGCCACCATGTGGGTGCTGGGAATTGAACTCAGGCCCTCTGGAAGAGTAGCCACTGCTCTTAACATCTGAGCCATCTCTCCAGTCCCAGGCAGGTGTTCTAATAATGTTGAGTCAACGAAGAGGCAGACTCTACTCCTATGACCCCTTTTAAAATAGTTTTTACATTTTTTATTTACTTGTTTATATGTGTATTGGGAGTACACATGTGAGGCCAGGGGACAACTTGTGAAGAAGATTGCTTCACTACTTCCACCATATAGGACCTTGGGATCAGACACAAGGTCTTTTGTTTGTTTGCTTTTTGTTTTTTGAGACAGGGTTTCTCTGTGTAACAGCCCTCACTGTCCTGGACCTCACTTTGTAGACCAGGCTGGCCTTGATCTCACAGAGATGCCTCTGCCTCCCAAGTGCTGGGATTAAAGGTATGTGCTATCACCGCCCAGCCAAATTCAAGTTCTTTTTTTTTTTTTTTTTTTTCCTGACAGGGTTTTTCTGTGGCTTTGGAGCCTGTCCTGGAACTCACTCTGTAGACCAGGCCTGCCTCTGTCTCTGGAGTGCAGGGATTAAAGGCGTGTGACACCAACAAACAATAAAATTCAAGTTCTTTAGGTTTGGTGGCAAGCACCTTTATCTATTGAGCCATCTCACCAACTCAGATTTATATTTTTGTTTTTCAAGACAGTGTTTCTCTGTGTAGCACCTCTGGCTGTCCTGGCTCTCCTGGAACTCACTCTGTAGTCTAAACTGGACTCAAATTCACTGAGATCTGCCTGTCTCTGCCCCCCCCCTCCGCCCCAGTGCTGTGCCACCACGCCTGGCTGTATTTTATTTTTACTGTATACACACACACACACACACACACACACACACACACACACACACACAGGCACGCACGCACGCACGCACGCACGCACGCACGCACCCATAGTGTCCAGAAAAGGGTGTCATATTCCTGGAGCTGGAATTACAGGGGATTGTGAGCCGCTTGATGTAGAGGCTGAACCCAAGTCCTCCCAAAGAACATCAAGCACCCTTAACCACTCACTGGATGGCCTCTTCAGCCCCTTCCCTGCTTTGACAGTCTCATATAGCCTAGAATATCCTCAAATTGGATGAGTAGCTGGGGCTGAACTTGAACTCCGATCTTCCTGCCCTCCCCTCCCCCACCCTCTCACCTCTCAATGCTGGGACGACAGGCCATGTGGTGGTACACTGGACTCACCCTTTAGGCATCTTAAGGAACCAGAGCCTCAAACTCAAGTGCTTTCTAGAACATTCTGAGAATCTGCCTTCACACTCAGGGTTGCATTTCATGTTTTGGACCGGGTCATTCAAAAGAACCTTGGACCCTGGTTCCCTTTGCCCCCTGAGGTTTGGATCTCTTGTTAGGCTTCCAAGTTCACTCCTGTTGGACCCATTTAACCACTGGCCCAGGAACCCCATCCAGCCACCTGAAAGCCTTCCCACTTTCCAGAAATCCCCACTCATTGGCCCGGGAGCCCTATCCCAGCACTGGCCCTGAGGCTGGGTCTCACCTGAGGGACAGGATGCAGTCCTGAGCTCTGGTTTCACTGAGCCGCACTAGGTAGCTGCCTTCCTTGCAGAGGGACAAAAGGTTCTCCGCCTCCATGCGGCTCAGGGGGCCATGAAACCACCTGGGTGTGGGGGCAGATACCTCCAGCTGACTTCACACACCTGGGGGTCGAGGGAAGGACCCCAAGGCACAGCCAGACAATTTTCTTGGACATAGTGAGAGGGGCCAGAGTGGGCTACATGAGACCCTCACTAAAGAAATGAATGAATGAATGAATGAATGAATGAATGAATGAGACCCCAGCTCCTTTGCGGTTCCTGGGTCCCCAGGGCCACCCCTCCTCTAGCATCCGCACTCACGGCTGCTTCTCCAGGGCCAGGGCTGCATCCACGCGCTCTGCAGGCTGCGGTCTCCGGGGCTCTTTGGTCGAGCCTGGAGTCCGTTCCCAATCAGGACCATCAAACTGTACTGGGAGAGGAGGGTGAGAGGCTAAGGCCCTCCTGCCCAGAGGGCAGGACAGTAGCCAGCCAATGGGATCTCAGTTTGTGGCAGCCTATCAGAGCCCAGGAGATGGGGGTGGAGTCTAAGTTAGGACAGAATTGACACAGGAACTGTGATTGGTCTTTGGAAAGGAAGGGGCGTGGCCACCCAGAAATTAGGCACCATGGAAGGTGGGCTACAAGCCTTAACTGACAAAGTCAGAGCACAGGGGGTGTGGTCAGTAGGGATGGGTTGGAAGTTTGTAATCAGTTTGTAAGCAGGACTACCCACATGGTGGAAGGAGAGCACTGGTTCAAGTTGTGGCCTCATCCTTCCTGACCTGGGTTATTTGATATTCTTTAGGTTGATCCTGTTACTCTATTTAGCAAGGAACTGTCTGACTCCAAGTCTACCACATGATAGCCCCTAAAAAGCCCTCGTTGCCATTCACCAGCTCCCACACAAGGGAGTGTGGTCTAGTATTTAGTCTACAATCATCCTATTGGGTTGGTCCTAAAATGACCCCAAGTCCAGTGTGATGTCACAGCCACATCTCTTCCCAAGACTACACAGAATGGGGGGGGGCATTTTCTCTGGGGGAGAACTGATGTTACTGAGGACTGAGACAGTGGACAGAGGAGGCCTCCAAGGAGCCTGGCCTTGAGCATACCTGCGAAGGCCCTGGAGATGTGATCTTTTTTCCACTCCCAAGGCTGGTCATATTCATCTGCCGGCCTCTCGTCCTCCAGGGGCAGCCTGCTCTGGCTGGAAGACACTCCATCTTCCGGCTCGGCATCCTGCTCTTCTTCGTAAGGAGTATCGTAAAGCTGGACGGCTCTGCTTGGCCGTTCTGGGGTAGAGGAGACACTGGTCACCCTCTACCCCCTGTGGGACTGTGTCCTCATCCTCAGCCTTGTGCACTCACCACTTGAACTGCTCCGTGCATCATAGGGCTCCATGTACCCATCATCGGGGGCTGGCGGCTGAGGCTGGGCATCGAAAGGGTCGGAGTACTCAGTGTCTTCTCCAGGCTGCTGGGAAAGGCTCGGGCTAACTCTGAAGGTCCCTGTCATGTGATCCTGTACTCTCAGCCTGCCCTTGCTGGGCCATTTTGAATCTCTCAGAGCTAGGCTCTTAGGGAGTCCTGGCATCCTCCTGTACCCACCTCCCCAGTGCTGGGGTTATAAGCACAGGTCACCACACTCAGCTCTCAAAGTGGGTTTTGGGAATTCAAACCCAGTTCCCAGAGCCCTCTGGTATCCTTCTAGTACCAGTCCCTAAGCCCTTAGTAAGATGATAAGCCTGTTTTACGGGTGAGGAAACAAAAACAGAGGTTAGTGGCCCCCCGGGGCAGGGCCACACAGCTGGTGACTATGAGGCAGGGTTTAATTCCAGTCTGTCTTGTGTCCCTGTGACCCTTCCTCCTCTCTGGAGGATTCCAAGTTTTAGGCCAGTTTGGGCTGCACAGAGAGAACCTGTCTGAAAACCAAACCAAACCAATAGAGAGAGCAGTGGCTCTCAAATTCCTGATGCTCTGACCCCTCAATATAGTTTCTCATGTAGTGGTGACCCCCAACTACAGAATTATCTTCATTGCTACTTCATAACTATAATTTTGCTACTGTTATGAATTGTAGTAAATATCTGTGTTTTCTGATGGTATTAGGTGACCCCTGTGAAAGGGTCGTTGGACACAAAAGGGGTGTGGCCAACAGGCTGAAAAACACTACCATAGAACTAAGCAGGGCCAAAGCTCTGTATGCAGAGTGCCCCGCATGCACCAGGTCCAGCTTCCATCGTGCCCAGAATAAAACTCGAGTGTGACACAAGCCTGTCATCTGTGACACACACTTGAGAAGTAGAAGCAGAAGTCTCAGGAGTTCAAGATCATAGCCAGCTAAGTAGTGAGTTTGAGGCCAGCCTGGGCTACCTTGAGTCTCACTCAAAACAAAAACAGCGCCCACCCTCGGTCTTTCTGAACGGAGAATGGCTCTAGGGGAATGTGTGTGTGTGTGTGTGTGTGTGTGTGTGTGTGTGTGGTGGGGGGTAGCCTAGAAGTTCTTAGACTTCCCGGAGGAGGAGAGCGGGGCAACATGAAGTCGGAACGCACCTCCTCCCCGGGGCTGCCCAGCAGGGCCTTGGCTCTGGCCATATCCGCAGCCTCCACCTTGATCAGCCGGTGCCTGGGAGAGTCGTACTTGGAGTCGCCTGGCCCGGCGGGCTCTGGCTCGAGGCGGCCATCGGAATCCTCATAGGGATCCTCGAAGTCCAGGTCCTTCTGCTCGCGGTAAGCCCGTAGGATGTCGCTCTCGGTGTAGTCGGGGGTGGGCGGCTGCGGTGGGGGCCTCCGGCCACCAAAGCTCAGATAGTCCCGGAACCACTTGGCCATCGGTGTCCCCGTAATAGGCTGGTGTCAGACCAGGGCTTCCATGCGCGCTCCGCAGCTTGTCCTGGGGGGAGGAAGGAGGGGGAGACTAAAGGGGTAGGAAGAAGGGGGAGGAGAGGGGAAGGTGGGGTCAGGAGTCCTAGGCTGAGCTCAGAGCGGAGGGGGCAGCAGGTGGTGACCTCAGTGCTGCAGGAGCCATGCACTTCGGGGGTCTGAGTTGCAGGCGGTGACAGAGTACACAGTCAGCGCCGCTGTCCCCTGGAGCTCCATGCACAAAGTTGCCAATGGTTGGGCCACCCAGAGGGTAGTACTCCCTGTGTGCTGCTGTCCGATCCCAAGGGTCCTGCCGGGCTGATCCCCTAAATCCCCATCCTGATTCCTTAGCCCCCTTATGTCTTACCCGCCCCCATCCCTGAACCCCTCATCCCTCAATCCCCCATCCCTCAACCTCCCAGATCCCTTAACCCCCGTATACCTTACTCGCCAATTTCTTAACCTCCCAGATCCCTTAACCCCCATCCATACCATTTAACCTCCTATCCCTTAAACCCCGCCCCTGTACCCCTTCACCTCGATCCCTTAGCCCCATCTCTTAACCTGCCCTTCCCCTAACACCCGGATCCCTTAACCTCCCCCAGCGTACCCATTAACTCTCGGATTCCGTACCCCATCTCTTAACCTTCCCAATTCCTTAACCCCCAGGTCCCTTATTCCCCACACCCCACCGCCCCCGAAACCT